TTAGCGTGCCCTGCCATTGGACTTCGCCCGTGCCAGTCTCGCAATAGGGTTTCCGGGTCCTTTGGCGCTAGAAACAAACTGGAAGGAAGTTGCGAACTTCCACTCTGGGCCTAGGCTAGGACGCGTTTATGCGATAGATTTTTACCTGCCCTTTTGCTTTGAAAATGCTCTTGATGGACATTTTGAACGCTTTCCTGAAAGGGGGCTGACATTCGTCGCAGTGCGGATGTGTTCTCCATGCGGGCACAAAGCTCTTAAACAGCCCGTTTTCCAGGTACTTGCTGGAAGCATGCTACCACTGAGCTGGGGAAGTATGCTACCACAGAGCTGCATCCCCGGACGTTCTTCTTTTTTTCTTATTTATTTATTCTTAGTAATCCTCCCACTAAATTAAGTAGGCAACCATTCAATCTGCAATATATATGCCTCAACTAACCTAGTAAATGACAGTACTGCCCTGAGGCCTCCTGGCCAAGCACATGATGAAATGTTTATGCTCATTAATCTACTTATTTTGTGCCAGAGTCTGTGCTAAATTCTGAGCTTCATTATCAAAGCATATATTTAAGCTAGTTTTGTTTACCATTAGCCCAGACTATAATGTTTGGCCTTGTGATTTTATTTTGATATAACTGTATGATAGCTCTTAAAATCTTGCTTGTTGTCTTGGCTGGTAGAAATTACAACCAGTGGAGCAGCCCATCTTTTTTTGTTTGTTTTGTTTGTTTGTTTGTTTGTTTTTCGAGACAGGGTTTCTCTGTGTAGCTTTGGAGCCTATCCTGGCACTCGCTCTGGAGACCAGGCTGGCCTGGAAACTCACAAGAGATCCGCCTGCCTCTGCCTCCCGAGTGCTGGGATTAAAGGCGTGCGCCACCAACGCCTGGCAAGCAGCCCACCTTTTAGCAGGTGTGCAGAGGTTACTGGCTCATTCACTGAATACTTTAGTCACGTGGTATGGTATTATGAGGAGTGTACGACTAGAACAATAAAGTTTAGTTAAATGCTATCCTGTCCCATAGGACAGGATAACATTCCATTTAACAGAGATGTTTAACTAATAACCTCATATGTGGTAGGCAAAAATGAGTCACTAGATCTTGGGTGTTAGGGAAAGCCTTATTAAACCCACTTCAACTGAATACCCAAAAGACACTCTTTAAAAGCCCCAAGGCCAGGAGGATCATTAATATGTCTTAAACTACTAGAGTGGAAACCAGATCTAATCCAGGATGAGAAAGAAGTCAAACCAGCATCAGTTCCAGATGATTGGGACAGTGCAGAGAAACCTCACCAGCTCCAAGCCTTTCTTCTCAACCCCGATTCTATGTTAAAGCTCAGTTTCACGGTGAGTATTTCACAGTAGCCATTATTACATATGCATGCCTATGACAGTTTCTCATCGGAAGAAAACCCTATTTAGGGGCTAGAACCAGTGTTTCATTTAATTCAGCAAAATTCAACTAGAGGTTGAAAGATAATAAATACCTTAATTTCAAGAAACCTATGTACTTGAGGCAGAAATTAGGAGAACCCCAAACCCACTTAAGTATAATGCAAATCAGATTTTTGTATATTTTAAAAAATACTAATTATGATGTTCTTTGAAAGATCAGTTGGAAATGGGTAGAGTTCCGGAAGGCTTTATAGACTGATCTTTAATTTAGCTTGCAAAAATGTTTGCATTATCAGGGGACAATGGAAAATCAAGTAAAGAAAGTGCAGAAGGTAAAATGTGAGTGTAAGATGTATACACAGTGTAGTGGGAATGCTAGGAACATTCTTCTACCTGCTGGTTATGCTCTGGAAATTCCCAACATGTAGTAAATTAGAACAGAAGATGGAAGTCCAGTATTAGGAAAGTTTTATTCTAAGAAAAAGACATTTTCAGCCCAGCGTTGGTGGCACACGCCTTTAATCCCAGCACTCAGGAGGCAGAGGCAGGTGGATCTCTGTGAGTTTGAGACCAGCCTGGTCTACAAGAGCTAGTTCCAGGACAGCCTCCAAAGCCACAGAGAAACTCTGTCTCGAAAAACAAAAACAAAAACAAAACAAAAAAAAAAGACATTTTCACACAGAATGTACCTCAGAGGGCTCTGGAGAGATGAAAGTCATATATATATATATATATATATATATATATATATATATATCAATAAGAGATGTTCCTCATAGGTCTGGTATTTGGACCCTTGGTTCCTAGTTGGTAGCACTGTTTGAGAAGATGTAGGAGGTGAGGCCTTGCTGGAGGAAGTATGTAGGGTGGGCATTGAGAGCTTAAAGCCTCACCTACTTCTAATTTCATCTTTTTCTGTTTCATGTTTGCAGGGGAGGATGCCAGGTCTCAGCCTCCTGCTTCTGCTGCCATGCTTGCCTCCTCACCATGATGGACTCTTGCCCCTCTGGAACCTGGGAACTGTAAGCTTAAATAAATCCTTCTATAAGTTGCCTGGTTGTGATGTTTTATCACAGCAACAGAAAGTAACTAATGCAAATTTTCCATTACTGTCATTGTGCTTTGGGATATTGATGGCCACTCAGCTCCATAGGCAGGACCAGAAAATATTAACTGATCACATTAATGGACCCCTCTCTTAATGTACTGATTAGTCTAGGAATTCATCCTTAAGCCTCTATATAACATTCTCTGTCAACTAAAACAAATTCAGAAGTAGCCAGAAGAAGTAACAGCAGTCATTAGGCTTACAGGATTCAGAAAAAAAGTTTCTTCTTCTAAAGTCAGTAGTGAGTCCAAGCTGAACACCAGGCATGCTTGTGAGACAGTTTCTTTCTCATGAAGAAAAATTGAAGGAACACAGTCCTTAATCTGAATCTGCTTACAAGTGTAGGATACTGTATATTTCCAATTGCATTTGACAGTTTAGAGTTTATTTTATTTAAGTGTACCTAGCTGACACAAGCCCCAGCTTACAGGGTGTGGCTCATAAACTTTGGCTGGTTTGGGTTTTATTAACAGGGACTTCTGTGGTATATAGGCCTGGGCATGGTGTGTTTCCCAGAACAGTAACCATGTGCATTGTCATGAGCAGTAGTAGTGATTTCATTAAAGAAAGATGCAGCTGGCTCCGGTAGTGTTTATTATTAATCCTAGGAGGTTGCTCAGAGACTACTGTTCAACAGAATATTTTGATTTGAAAATTTGAGGTGATATTATTCCTTATTGGGTATAATTTAGGAGGTTGTTTTAAGATATGGAATAAGCAACAAACTGTATAGCTGAGAAACCAATGTCAGCAATCTATCTGGTGTCTACTTCTGTCTCTCTACACGTGCTGTCCACTTATCCTGCCTTACAGGTTTGCTTTGCACGGTTCTAGCTACCTAAAGTCAACCAGAATCTGAAGTTATTAAGTAGAAAATCCCAGAAGTAGACAGCTTATTTTCAATTAGAGCCATGTTTAAGAGTGTGATAAAATCCTCATACCATTTTGCTTTGACCCATTGAAGACAGGAAGCATCCTTCTGACCAGTGTGCTCAAGCCCCATCACTCTAGTCACTTAGTGCTGCCTTGGTTGGAATGTGAAATGTCCTCCACATGCTCATGTGTTTGAATACTTTGTTACCAGTGGAGGGTATGTTGGCAGAATGTTAGGTGACCTTTAAGTGGCCCAGCCTTCCTAGCGGAAGTCACTGGGTGGGCCTTGAGGCTGTATAGCCTTTCCCATATTCTTGTCTACTCTGTAGTTCCTGACTGCTGACGGTGTAACCAGCCGCCTCAGACTTCTGCTGCCATGCCTTTCCCATCATGACAATTAGAGCACCACCAACATGGAAATGTGTGCTAAGAAACATTTGCTTGGATTTGGAATTCATTCACATGTGACAGTATAGTGCTTTTAAAGGGATCAGAAAGAACTTTGATCTAAGTAGAATCGCATTCTATAAATTTTGAATGAAATTATAAAAACAACACTGCTGGCATTATCATTTCTGGTTAATTATGACTCTCAACAAAATGAAGTTAATTCTTTTTTGGGTGGTGGGGGAGAAGAGATAGTTTATATTCTGGAGCCATTTTGAGTGACCATTACCTAGGAACACAGATTTCAGTTATCCCAAATTCCGTGTTCCAACATGGAAGCAGCTTCATGAATTTTTTAGGAATAGTTTTACAAAACAAAAGAAAGTCATAAATACAGGCAAGTTTAAAATACACTGGTGTGTACATCAGAGAGGCAGGTCCAGCAAGATGAGGGAAACTTTCCTATTCCTATAGGAAAGTTTGGTCTAGATTAACCCTCTGGGACAGCTATTCCTTGCCCACCTCTGTGAACCCTTTTTAAAAGGAAATGTGATGGATCTTCTCAAACACAAAAAGCAATAGTTTTAATAATTGCACTTGTAGGGCCTAGGAAGATAGCCCTAATGAATAAGAACACTCCTTGTGTCAGTGTGAGGACATGAGTTTGACTCTTCAACACCTGTATAAGAAACTAGGCATGGCCATGCATGCCTCCTCCATATCAAATATTGGGGGTGGAGAGAATAGGTGACCTCAGGAGTTTATTTTAATTCAGTAAGAAATCCCATCTCAAGGCAGTAACAGGGAGTTTGAGGAAGACATCTACTTAATAGGACCTCCACATGTGTATACACGATCTATGCATCTGTACACTTACATTTATGCATCAAGCAAATGTGCACAGACACACACAATGTGCATATATGAAACAAGTGTATTTTCTCTTAAAAATGCAGTTTTATGTTGGAATATTTTACATAACTTAACATTTAAAATCTTTATTCTACCCTCTTATCTGTGTTTGATATGGAGGCAGCCAAGATACCTATCATCTGGATTATATCATTTGGATGCTAGTGGATGGAACTGGAGACCATCATGTTAAGCTAAATAAGCCAAACTCAGAAAGATGTTAGGGTTTGCTGAGAATTGTATTCCATTGTCTCATTTGTTAGAACTCTTGGTCCCAATAGGTGGCACTTTTTGGAGAGGTTATGGAACCTTTAGGAGGTGAACCTTGATGGAAGAAGAATTACATCAGAGCTGGGGAGAGCTGTAAGGGTTTGTAACCTTGCTCAACTTCCTATTCTACTTTGCTGCTTTCTGTGTGCTGTTAAAAATGTGGTCAACCAGCTTCCTTCTCCTGCTGCCATGTCTTGCCTTCCCTGCTGTGATAAGACTCTATCCCTCTGAAACCATAAACCCTTTCTTCCTTAAGTTGCTTTGGTCATGGTATTTTATTACAGCAACAGAAAAGTAATTAATACAGATAATAAGGAGACCAGTGTGTGTGGGAGGTATGATAGGATGCAATATAAAAGAAGTAAAAATGGTAAAAATGTATAGGACTGATCCAGACCCCATGAACATTGGTGTCAGTGAGGAAGCCTCGGAAATCTGTGGGGCCTCTGGTAGTATGATTAGTACTTATCTCTAGCATATGAATGGACTTTGGGAACCCATTCCACATAGAGGGATACTCTCTCAGCCTAGACACATGGGGAAGGGCCTAGGCCCTGCTCCAAAGGATATGGCCGACTCTGAAGATCCCCCATGGAAGGCCTCACCCTCCCTGGGGAGCAGAAAGAGTATGGGATAGGGTGTTAGTGGGGGGCAGGTGAGGAGGGGAGTGAGAGAGAACTGGGATTGACATGTAAAACAATCTAGTTTCTAATTTAAATTTAAAAATGGAGAAAAATGGTAAAAAATGATAGACTCATGATAATGGCTTAATGAACCTATTGTTTTATAACCAATTGAAATAATTTTTATTTAAACTATTATATTCCAAAGAGTTTTATTTTTTAACCTAATGTTTTATATTTGCCTCTCAAATGTTCTTTACTTTGATGTCTCCTGCCTGGATGTGGAAAGGCTGGAAGCATTGCTCTAACATAAGCCAGAAGCCACACTGCACTGTAATGGAAAGTGCATTGTGTTTCAAATTATCTGACTTAGTTTTGTAAACAGAAAGGGAGAAAATTATCCACTTTCTTTCCTTTTTACCCTTCATTTTCTTCTTCTTTTCCCCCTGTCCTGAGCAGAGGATAGAATATTATCATGGACACCTTCAGTCCATTTCCTTGATCTCTGACTTTCCACTGAACTAACTGGTAAGAGGCCTTAGCAAAAAAGCAGGAGGGCCAAGGGTGGGCTCTGTATGCTAGGCTCCAGGCATCTTATTCCTGAAGGATATTCTGCAGGATATTCTCTCTGAATTTCCTGCATATGCTGACACACCTTGTTGACTGTTTTTACCTTGCCCAGAATCTTATAAATATTCTGTTTATTTGTTGTCAAAAATCTCTCATGAACCTGCCCTTATTTCCTGACAGGACCTCAACAGATACAGTTGCCCAAATTCTCAGCCATTTTATTAAGTCATATGAGTCATAATATCTTCCATCAGTACTAATATTGTGATGAGCACTTTAATATATTTCCAGATACCTGCTATTGACATATGTGCTGCCAATCTGTGACAGAAATCATCATTATCAAGATTGTGTGTCATGCAATGTTAAGTCATTCCATGATCGATGTGAACAAGGCATTCCTTAATAGTGTGGGCTTGGTGGAGGTGTTGGGACCTGGACATAGATGGTGAAGACCTTACAGTATCTTATGCAGGTTTTTTGTTGTTTTCTTGTTTTGTTTTTAATATTCAGTTGGCTTTCAAATCTTATTGTTAATTTTGGAACGCAGCACTAGAACATAGGTCACATCTGGAATAAATCAATGTAGAGAACTGATTGTCATTTGCTGGGACAATTAATAACACTGAGATAGTCTTGGTGAGCAAAGAGAAGTGGAATAAGAAACTTGGAGAGGTCTTGAGAGGCTCAGATTTCAAAAATATTGTTCTTTAAGATTAATTATTCTCTGTGTGTATGCACATGGATGACTCTGTGTGGAAAAAGTCTATAAGAGAAGCCTCAGATTATATGATTTCTCAGATCTGAATTCTGGTCCCCAAGATTGATCAGTAATTGCTCTTACCCATAAATAGAACACAAGATAATTCTATCTGCCTAAAAATAGTTTTGTAGTTTGATACTAATTTGCCAATGTGTTCTGCAAGCATTTGATAATGTAGAAACTTCTCTATACCCAAGACATGCTCTGGTTGTTTTCAAATAGGAAGGAAAAAGACAATGAAATGCTAAAGATAGCTTCCATGCAAATGCTTCATTTCTCCTCCTTCCAGAAAACTTTCATGGATCCTACTGCTCAGTGCACACTTCAAGGTCCCTAATGGCTTTTCTGTTGGCTTCATGTTATCTCCATTTTTATTTCCTAACATTTTTTCCTAAATAACTAAACATAATAAAATTTAAATAAAAGGATAATGAATCATAAAAAGTTTCTGTGTTTGTTAAGATTATTAATTCTTGAGAATTAAAGGCAGACAACAGTTCAAATTCAACCAAACTA